GTAGCGGGGACTGTCCGGTGGGAAGGGGGAAGGGTTGGGCCCGTTAGCCGTAGCCACCGGAGCTAAGGTGCAAACAAAGAAAAAGACGGAGACGAATATTAGCTGACGTGTTTGGACAATGAAAAAAAAAAAAGAAAAAGTTCTAAAAACCTAGAGAAACACCTTGTTGGATTTATTATGAAGTTATTACGATGTTTTAGTGTCTGTTAGCATCAAGCACGCAGCTCCACTGCCTCGACTATAGGGGGAGCTAAGTACACCTGTAATGTTTGACCTGCGATCAGTGATGACTGATGTTCTACGTCTTTTAACTTTCCGAGCAAATCTGTATCCTGTGAGTTGCAATGCTGCCACCTACTGGGCTTATCTTACACTAATAGATATGAAGGAAGGGAGAAAAATACAAAAAAATAAGAAGGTAAAAACTTGTAGTCAGGACCAAATTTAAGTCAAAAAAACGCAGCTAACATCAACAATAAAACCTATACCATACATGTGATCGTGTATTTGTAGTAAAACGTAGTGAAATAAAGACAGAAAATATAAAGTGACTGTGAATATTTTCTGGTTTCGTTGACAATAAACAGAATATTTGTGGTTTGTGGACAAGACAAAACCATTCAGGGACAGTGTCACTCTGAGGTTTTGTTGGGGGGGGGGCGCTCATGAAGACAACAATGAACAGATTAATTTGATCCAGTTTAACAAGAAAATGACATTTGTGGTGGTTACTCACTCTGGGACACACGGACCAGCTCGGCCACGTTCCACACCCCCGAAGTCACAAAGCAGTCCTGGAAACTCAAGTGGCCTGAGAGAGAGATCAAATCGTGGGTCAGGTTACGGGTGTGTGTACACACACACACACAATACACACGTTGGACAACATGTGTTTTCAGGGACAGAACCGATCTGAGGTTTGGACCCGTCCGTGCCGTTCACTCAGACTCAGACTGACAAATGTGTGGAAACAGGCAGAAAAACGTCCACGTGGAGACGTCCACCTGACACTGTGCAATGCATTATGGTCCCTCTGTGTGCACTTTCTGTGATTACATCCCCAGACTACTATTTGTCTTTAATCCTTGAAGGGAAAAAATATAAAAAATAATTCCCTGATCAGAACGAACAGTGGAAAACTGAGTGAATTCTCACTGTCAATAGAACTAAGTTTTAGTCAAAGGAAGATCGTAATTATTTCGTTAACGTAGAGTCTTGTTCTCACTAACGTCAGGACTGAAATAGTTCCACCAGACATGTTCCAGTCACTAATTAACCATTTATTGTTTATTCTACTGCTGCGTCTCCATCAAAGGTCCCGCCCCCTAGCTAACACGCAGAGCTCTGATTGGCTCTCGCCCTCATTAGTTCACATGATGAGATCAGCTCTGATTGGACTTCTGTCCCTGCCAGAGTTAGTTGTCGTTGACGTTTAGCGCCACCTGACTTCCTGTTTAGTTAAGGTTACAAATCGATGTTACACTAATCTGACGAAGGGGAGACGTGTGTGTGTGTGTGTGTGTGTGTGTTCATGAACAGTCGTTCTGGCTTCACAAACATGACACTGATGAAGACCAGACTGGAGAAAAGTTGTTTTCACTCTATTGTAAATAATTTGATTTCATCCAGGGAGACTTTCATCTTCCTTTATCCTGGATCAACTCTGACTCCTTTCCTCCTTCATTTCATCCCTCCTTAATCACCTCGATCATTCCTCTTCTCCTTCTCCCTCTCTTTTTAACCCAATCCGTTGTTTTCCTCCTGTTCTTCATCTCTCCTCCTCCTCCTCCTTTCCGTCCCGGGCCGGGGTTAACCACAGCGAGGACAGCGTATGAGGTCAGAGCTGCGCTCCGCTCAGCAGCGGCCATGTGGTTCCCATCTTCCAATAACGTCAGTGTGATTTATGAGTGGCCCGCCACAACCCCAACGCTACAGTACCATCAGCTCTGCTTACCATAATAAACTCAGAGCCACACACACACACAGAGGCCAGTTGGGGAGTGGAGGGGGGTGGGGGTGTATATACTGTACGCAGACGTGTGTTAGCGTCTCCTCAGCTCCGACTGCATGTGGACTCAGGTATGTAAAACATTTTTACACTCTTGTCCGAGTGCGTCGGGGGCAGAGTCGTAAAACTCACCGTTTGGCGGGGGCTTGACGTCTGTTTCCCCCTGCTGGTTTGAGTTGTCTGATTGTCCTGATTGTTCTGGAAGACAGAAAAAAAACACACAGAGCGAGAGACGGTCAGTCAGGTGGACGAGTGTCTGGACGAGCGACAACATCAGCTCCAGAACTCTCCCGGAACTAACTGGGAAAAT